AATCCCTAATTGTCCCAATTTATAAGAAAGAACAAAAGTCTTCTTCACATTATCATCGTCTGACGTTTCAGCAGTAGACCTTCTACCAGGAGGATCGCTTACTGACCTAGAATATGCCGATGACATAGTTCTATTCGGTGTAGATGCTGACAAAATGCAGTCTTCTGACTACACTTTTGGCGTAGGCGAGATATCCGTTTGTTGACTAAAGGATGAGTGTACTGCGCAGCAGTTCGCTCCGTTCTCCTATATGGATCCGAAACATGACCCGTAAGAGTAGAAGATATTCGTAGGTTACTTGTCTTCGATCATAGGTGTCTCCGAAGCATTGTCCGTATATCCTGGGAGAACCGAGTAAGCGATGCTGTCGTTAGGAAACGAGTAGTAGGTACGGATGACAGATCAAAAGATGAAGTATTGAAACTGAATCAGTTGTGCTGGTTGAGACATGTGTTACGAATACCCTACCACCGACTACCTCGACGAGCTTTGTTTTGTGGTATAGGAGTAGGTTGGAAGAAAGCCAGTGGTGGCCAAACCAAAACATGGCAGAAATCCGTGAAGTCACTGACAAGTGGACTGAGTCATGTTGGTAGATGTAGGCTATCACCTGGTTGGGGTTCGCGTGACGAAAGTCACCAATAGTTAGAGACCTTGAACGACATGGCTCAGAATCGTTTGCAATGGTGCTGGTGCATCCTCTCTTTACGTTCTTTCAAATTCTAACCTTTTGAATTCATTATGATCTCTATCTTTCTCCTTCTAAATTTATCTCACTGAATCATACTTCTCGAATCATATCTTCGCTCCCTAAGATTTAGGAGTCAGAATAAAGGTAGTAACAATAAAAGTTATAAAGGATATATATGTATTAAAGTCGTTGAAACAATTTAATTTATTTACCAAGTACAAATAAATACGTATTCGGTTTTAAGCCATCATGCCTTCTACCCTAATCGAAGTACGTGGAGTATGTGGTTCAACAGCATACAAATGTTAATTACATTTACGATCGTAAATTCTTTAATATTGTCAAAAACCGCAAAACGATAGATGTGATGGTAAATATTTAGTTAAATGAAATTAACAATTAAGAGCCAAACGAACTAATTAGTTTCACCAGATTTTCTAAAACGAAAACATTGATTTTGATCAGAGTAAAGTACAACATTCCTAAAATATGAATAACCTCGTAGAAATTTTAGAATGCTGTCAATACCTGTCATATGATCGGATTCACTTTAATATCAGAAATATGAGAAAAATACATACTGAGTGTACAATATTGATTCACTGAAATATTCAGGTGACATCAGAGGAGCAGCATCGGTCATGTGGCATGAAACTAATGGGTTTGATATTAAACGAGGTTTTTATAGTACAGAAGAACAAAGGACAGTTGCTAGTAAAATGTTTATCATCCATTTTATGAGACTTTATCCAAAAGCTTTTATTCAAAATTATCAAACGAAAACCTAACATTAGTTCCAAAAATTAGACATTTGTCGGCTCTGTATGCTAGGAAAACAGATGTAGCACTTGGTTTAATTGTATTCCAAGGAGAACAGACATGGTATATGTGTGACAACGACACTCGACCATAGCTGCTACCTTGATGTGGTGGTCGGGTTTGCCTATCGTGATGACCCAACCGAGCTATATTGGCTGGAACATATGTTCCTATAGGTTCTATCATGCCAGGCAGGTCGATTGTAGAACGATGAGACTAAAAGCACCTACTCAAGGTCTGAAGGCGAAGTCGTACTGCTGACTGTAGAGAGGAGTGACAGCAGTAAGGTGTTTCCCTCAGACAACCAGCATCTGCAGCGATGTTACCTTCTCACAAAGAAGGCAGAGGTTAGGAAAGGTCGACCGTGAAAACACCTCACCCGACCTGACGGATTTCCATCTCCGTCAGTAAGGGTGCCCACTAAGGGCCTTTAAGAGCGGAGCTAATACTCGATAAACGTGTGATAGGAAGGCTGTGCGTGACCGGCCTCAAGCAGATGTCCCCTGGGATCTGCGGTCACGCACCCTGGTCGTTAAGACCAACGCTAATCTACCTTCCTTTTCAGGTTTCTCAAGAAACAACCTTCCACGGTGTGGGCAGCCGGGAAGTGACATCCGCCCTCATACCCGTAACCGCACACGTGACCAAATCGGTCACAAACAAATCCTTTCTACACCCCCAAATATCTCTCTTATCTCCATCACAAATTGCTCTCACATTCCCTTATCACCCTACACCGCTGATGCAAACAATCCACGTTCCTGAAACATTATCCATAGTCTCCTGAAACGCCACTTTAAGCTACATGTTGGAACTTCTAATGTTCCGAAATTGTGTCAAATAGGGCAGCAGGCCTCCTTATTAAGGGTCTTCTGACTACCCTAAACAACAATGCATGTTCTGGATGCGGTTTTCTCCCTGAAAATGCAAAATGTTGCTTCAAGAATGGGTTTGATCGGTGCTTGGACTAGTGATACGGAGTGAAGTAATTTAGCGTGATGACCGCTTTACTTATCTCTGGAGTCTCATCAGTGCTGATGGCCCGGTAACTGACGAAATCTCAGAACGGATACAGAAAGCGTGTTTGGCTTTTGTCAACCTGCGTCACTTATGGTGAACGCGAGATATCCCTTTGCTGACTAAAGGATGAGTGTACTGCGAAGTAGTTGCTTCCGTTCTACTATATGGCTGTGAAACATGGTCAGTCAGAGTTGAAGATTTCCTTAGTTTGCTTGTTTTCGGTCATTAGTGTCTCCGAACCATTGCTCGAGTATCGTGCGACACCTGAGTGAGCAACGCTGCTATAAGAAACGTATGCTAAGTAAGAAAGGCAGATCAATTGATGAAGTAATGAAACTTCATCAGTTGAGGTAGTTGAGACATGTGTTGCGTATGCCTAACCACCGACTGCTTCGAGCTTTCTTTTGTAGTGTAAGTGTAGGTTGCAAGTAACCTAGGGGTGGCCAGACCAAAACATGGCACGAATCCGTGAAGTCATCGACAAGTGTACTGAGTCATGTCGGTAGCTGTCGACTACCTGGTTGGAGTCCGCGAGACGAAAGTCACCAATGGTTAGAGACCCTAAATGACATAGCTCAAAACTGTTTGCAATGATGCCGGTGCACTTATTCTTTGTGTTCTCTCATATCCTAATCCTCTGGATTCTTCAACCACTCTAGTGTTGTCTTTCTAAACCCATCTCACTAAATCATACATCTTGAATAATATCTTCTAATCCTAGCCTCTCCGATTACTCCTAATACCTTTACTACCTTTACTACTATTGGAATTGAATTGACAATTTCATCTCTGTGCTGATGTGGTATGGCAACTTGAACTGATGTACTTACGTACGAAGTTCTACGTTGCATCTAACTGACTGACTGATTCGTAACACATGTCTCAACCAGCACAACTGATTCAGTTTCAATACTTCATCTTTTGATCTGTCATCCGTACCTACTACTCGTTTCCTAACGACAGCATCGCTTACTCGGTTCTCCCAGGATATACGGACAATGCTTCGGAGACACCTATGATCGAAGACAAGTAACCTACGAATATCTTCTACTCTTACGGGTCATGTTTCGGATCCATATAGGAGAACGGAGCGAACTGCTGCGCAGTACACTCATCCTTTAGTCAACAAACGGATATCTCGCCTACGCCAAAAGTGTAGTCAGAAGACTCTGCATTTTGTCAGCATCTACACCGAATAGAACTATGTCATCGGCATATTCTAGGTCAGTAAGCGATCCTCCTGGTAGAAGGTCTACTGCTGAAACGTCAGACGATGATAATGTGAAGAAGACTTTTGTTCTTTCTTATAAATTGGGACAATTAGGGATTGAGACCAGTCGGATGGGATTACGTCCAGTTCCCAGATTCTACCTAAGATCTCAGTCAACCTAGTTGCTAAAACTGGACCACCATCCTTAAATATCTCAGGGGTCAGTCTATCAGGACCTGCAGCTCGTCCTCGCTTTAGATTTCCTAACGCTTTCTGAACTTCATAAAGATTCGGAGGACATATATCAGTTTTCCATTCAGGATGGTTGGAGATCGTGGGCAACCGATGTGTGGCTGAAGGCCATTTGAACTGATCCCTAAAGTGTTCTGCCCATCGATCCAATCTCCTGGATTGAGAACGAATAATAAGACCATCCTTCTCCGAAATAGTCTCATTCACATTCCGGTTCTTAATACCGGTTTTCTTGATGAGTCTGAATAGTTGCCTACTGTTGCCTATCGCCTCTGCCTTTTCCATCGCGTTTGCTTTCGCCATCCACCACTGTTCACGGTCGTTGCGTAGGCTCTTTATCAGCCTGTGCCTTATCTGACTCCACTCCTCATCGTGCTCAGAGCCAGGCGGGATGAGCTTCCGAGCATCCGTCATTGCAGTAGATGCTACCGAAATCCATGGCTTCTTCCTAACCTTATGGTTTACCTTACTAGCTGATATGATTGCTGTGATCCATAGCTTTTTCGATATCACCTCACTGCGGAAACTGGACGATCATCTGTAAAAATCTCATTAGTTTTCCTGTGAGGGCCTGTTGATCAACCCCACCAAAGATTGACTAAAGCCTTTAAAACCTGCCCGTGGGTTAAACGAAAAGATCAGGGAGAATTAGTGGAATCACCTGGCTGCTGTCACCAACCTATACAGTCGGCAGTAGAACTTAACCTTCAGAGCTTGAGTTGCGGCTTTAAGTCTCATCGTTCTCAAATCGACCTGCCTGGCATGATATGACGTAGAGGAACATATGTTCCAGCCAATATAGCTCGGTTGAGTTATCACGATAGGCGAGGCTGACCACCATGCTGCGGTAGCATCTACGGTCGAGAAACAAACGCACATGCTCAGTAGTAAAATATTCAAAGTACAAATACCACTGAGAATCACAAACATAAAAGTAATTCGTTAGGAAATAGTTTCTGATGACATTCGAAGTAAATTTTTCAAATTATCAAAATGTACTTACAGGTTTTAGGTAGTGCATAGAATTTCTGATTTGTCAAAATGGAGCTGAGCAAGACTCTAGAATTTATTTTATAGAGACAAACAAAAAACATGAGATTTGTTAGGTTTCTTACTAAAATGAAACAGTTTAACATTTGAAGTTAAAATATGTTTTCAATTAGCAAAGTCGTTCGAAAATCTGAGCGCTGTATCAACAAAACAAATAGATATTTATGGAAGTCATGAATCGATCATTATTAGACCATCATTGGAAACCTAAAAGCATTATACGACCGTTTTGTCCTAGTGTGAAGCTCATCAGAAGTGCACATCTATGACTGAGGCTTGTGGGAATCGAACCCAGGGCCTTCCATCTTGTATGCGTACGCTTAACCTCTAGACCACTGAGCCAGCTTCCAACAGATATCATACTTCTTTAATAATATCTTCGAACCCTAATCTCTCCGATTACCGTTATTACTTCTACTGCATAAACCACTATGGGATTTGAATTGACAATTGCATCCCCAATTGATCCCCACGACGGGGGTCGTGGATGCGCTCTATTTATGAGTCCCTAGACTAGGACGAAACGGGGTAAAAATGATCGAATCATGACTTTAATGAAACTCAATCTCCACAACTGTATAAGTGAAAATAATTTTTTTGCTATGTTTCAAGTAACCGACGACTGAATGTTGATCAACTTTGTAATAGCAATAATATTTATGCTGACTAGGATGCAATAAATTGGTCAAGAAAGGGAAGTAGAAAACTGGTGCAACTCTAAAAAAATGTCAAACAATAAATAACATAAAGTCCTACATACAGCACAGTAATTATCAGGTTTGTAGAACTAATCAAACTCCGCCAGTAGACTTTCCAGTGCTTCTGCCAGTCCCAAGCCCGGATAAAGGAAGGGGATTGGGATTGGGGTTGGCGACCCAATCGCACAAAATGCTAACTCGCTAACAAGTAAAAAGTAATTCAAACCATTTAAACTCTGCTATGGGAGTTTAAAGGTCTTCATTTGGAAGAGTTATGACATCTCATGATGAAAGCTGAGTTCCTTCGGATGTCACCAGGCTAATGGCCCTTCTGACAACCAGAACCCTTCCACGGCGTTAGCAGCCGGGAAGTAACATACGCCCTCATACTCATAAAAGCACACGAGACCAAATCAGTCACAATCAAATCCTTCCTAAACCTAATAACTATTTTATCTACACTAACAACCCTTCTTTCGTTCATTTGTCACCTCGCGTTGCTGACACAAACGGTTTGAGCTCACGAAACACTATCCCTGGTCTCCTGAAACCCCGCTCCAAACTACATATTGGAGCTTTTAATGTTCGAACGTTGTGCCAAATAGGTCAGCAGGCTTCATTAGCTAGAACTTTGACTTACAAAACTAATCAACTTAAGAATATTTTTTACGTTGAATAAATTAAGTTACACTCTACGGTTAAGTGATATCTAACCTGAGTATTACAACCGAGGTAAATCTGATGATTTACCTAATAAAAATGACTACATAAATCATTTTAGGCACGTAAATATATATATATATATATATATTACCAATGAATTCTAGTATATAGCAATATGACGGCTTTGGTGCTATTGTAAAAGTTTTTTAAACTTACGTCAATAAGCTCTTCAAGACCAGTCCCACTCATTGGTTTATTGAAAGCAAAAGGTAACATTCGATTGTCTTCAGTAACTAAGGGAAAATACTGAAACCGACTTTGATTTGTATCAAAATGACACATGGCGAGGTTGAAGGAATGTAATGAGTTGTCAAATACATTTGTTGGTTTGAAAGTAGAAGAATAAAGGCTATTTTCCGAAATCGGAGTCTGGATTTACATGTATGATAATTCGGTACAAAAAAGAGAGCGGAAATACCAACAATAAATATAATGAGCACAAACACGAGTACATTTAAATTTATAATATCGGGCTAAAAAGTAAGATATATTCCATACTCAGTCAGTCAGTCAGTTGCAACGTAGAACTTCGTACGTATGTACATAAGTTCATGTTGCCATACCACATTAGCACAGAGACGCAAATATCAAATCAAATCCCATAGTGATAAAGATAACAGAGGTATTAATGGTAATGAAGAAGACTAGGGTTCAAGAAATTATTCAAGAAGTATAATTCAGTGAGATAAGGTTAGGAAGACAAAGGTAGAGGTGCTGACGAATCCAGAAGATTAGGATTTGAGAGAACACAAAGAATAAATGCACTTACGCCATTGCAAACGATTTTGAGGCATGTCGTTCAAGGTCTCTAACCATTGGTGACTTTCGTCTCGCGGACCCCAACCAGGTAGCCTACATCTACCAACATGAATATTCCATACTAGCAAGGATAAATCACAAATTACAAATAACAGGAAGCAGGACTATGTAAGTAAACGCACGTTGAACGATACGTTTAGACGTCAATAATTGACAAAGTTTTATACAAACTTAAAAAAAATTAGGAAGTTAGATAGGGGACCTGCCTATCAGATATATAAGGAATATTTTGAAATTAATGGCGAGGGATTTTGAAGTTTTGATAAAGTAATGATTAAATGGTGGTAAGATATATTAGTTCGTTTTTCAAGAATATTTTCTACCGTAAAAATTCAGAGGTTTGTTAACGTAATAAACGACAATCCTTGGCATTATTTACTCGAGCAGTTTGATAAATTTTTGGCGCGCATACCGTGGAGAACTGGGAAATCATTTGATTGCTCGTTCGCAAACAACCCTATGAGAATTTGACTAGTTAACAAATACAATTATAGATTAACAGACTACTGGGATTGATGGTTGAGCAAACTCGATAAAACTCAGTGCATGATATAAACAACAGTACGACTGAAGGCTGTTTTCTCTGCTTGTCACTGAAATAAAACCTATCTGTAATCTCACCATTCTTAAGCAAAACAACAAGTGAAGCAAAAATAATTAGTCGACGTGAGGAGAAACTTAAAAATTTTCTGAAAATTAATTACTGAGATATGATGACAGCATGGACTGAGAAATAAGTTACTCCAGTAAAAAGTATTTCAAAATAACCAACCTCAGTTAATAAACGTTTCAATTTCAAAAGAATAGTTTTTGTTGCTTGTAATTCCTCAACCATTTCTCTCTGTTGATTAGCGAATACGAAACTAGATGGATCCTTTAACTCATGGAGCAAAGAATCATTACGACTGTTCATTGAATTTGACGTCATAAAAGATGGAGAAACCTTTAGAGGATGATTTGACCTAAATAAGATTAAAAAGATGTGACGACCAATACATTAAACAAATAAAATGTGGATATTTGTAAGATACTAAATGAATACATTATATACTAGAAATAATATATAGTTAAAACCTAATTAAAATGTAGAATTACATTTACTGAAGAAAACCCAGTGAGAATAACGCAAATCAGCTGCGACATAAGACCGGGTAGCAACTCGAAAAATCTGCACTAATTAGAATTATATGCAAATAGAAGTAAAATAACAAAACGACAGAGCTATAAAAGCATAACTACCACGCAGTGATACTAAAATCAACCCTGCTCCTCTGTCATTTAGTCATAATTAACGTAGAGTTTATCATGAATGTGCATCAGATGAAGTTGCCACACCGCACTATAGCGAGATGAATAATAAAGGAGCCAAAAATAGCTGCAGTGATAATGAAGAGACCAAACATTGAGAACGTGGCTCAAAAATGTATACATGAATGAATACTGAAACTGGAGAATGAATGTGGCTGTTGGTTTGGAGTCACAAACAAAAGTGGCTGTACGTCATCACTTCACTCAAAATGCTTGTGTAATACTTAAGGCAAATTGTACAGTACAGTTCCCTGTAAAAATAAATCAAGTTAAGACTTTGTGTTAATAGTGTTAGCTTTCAATACTTGTGACGGTATTCAAAAACTTGATAGGATAAGGAGACATGAACCAGCTCGCTTTTCGCAAACCGCTTCTCCAAAGCCTTTGCTTGGCTCATGTGATAAACGGTAGTTAATAGATGTGACGCAGTTGATGGTATACTTAGATTGTAAACATTAGGCGGGTTGGATTTTAGTATTAATGGAGTAGCAGGCAATAAATCTACTTACTCCACTACAGAATTTTTCCACATATTCGATAGGTAGAGCAGATTTCCAGTCTGTCCACAAAACCTACTGCCTATATACTCTACAAGGTCGTCAATATTGATGGGAACTGCCTGTTATGATGTGCAGTGTCCCAGATCTGAATGCGATACGTCCAAACTCACGAAAACTAGCTACTTGAGCGATAAGGCAAGAGCAGAAGAGAAAGTCTATTTGGCTATCGAATAATGTGTACAAATACAAGTCTATATAGATAAATTCCATTTTCTTAGAAAATGATGCTATTTCTTGATCAATGATATGTGTCTGCCCTTCAGGATAGTTTCTGGTCATCAATTGGGACAAATAAGATTGTGTGAGATAAGTATCAGAAGAAAAACGAAGTTTATGTAGGAAGGAAGCGTCGCTGAGAAGTAAATTATAACACCATTCGTTCTGACAGAGATGTCTAACTGAAACGTTCTGTGATAGGGTAAGAATATTACACACAAACGATAAAATAGATGGGGAACTGACTATTCTAGAAATTTATTGCAAAGTATGGAAAAGGTCATCCTAAAAATGAGAAAAAAGGCAACTATTTCCACTAAATGTTTCTTCATCCGTCTTCTGTTTGAGATACAGGGAGAATCAACAGAAGAATCAAATTGTTAGTGGGAAGAAGCTTTCCTGATGCTCAAATGATTTCGGTATGCAACACCAAGTGTTCTCTAAACATCTCACAGGTTGATCAATACCCTTTGGATTTCACCTGAAGCTGCATCTTTAAATTTACATACACCTGTGGAACATGTATGTAGGAAGGATATAACGAATGGTTCCCACGAGGCTTTAGGATCCTGCAAATGGAAGGTAGTAGAGTCTTCAAAACTGTAGTTTCCAGACACCTTTAGGATTGGTGGACATACAGCTTATAGCGATGCGATCTAGTCGAGTCCATCGTTGAGACGACTTTGGGGGTCGCCAGGACAAAAGATATTTTTCATTATGCTTAAAGTTAGTGTTTACTAGAAATTGGCGGTTATGTGAGCACAGCTGCAGTAGACGGTCGCCATTATCTGACCATTGAGCCGCGACACCATAAGATCCACCCACGTGTCTTTCCTTTTCACTCAGTCTACCTACGTGAGTATTGAAGTCTCCAGCCATTATTACTATATCAGAGTGCCTAACGTTTTGGAGGAGGTCTGAAGCTTTCTGTAAAATTAATCTTTAACCTCGTCTGAACTGCAGTCAGTGGGGGCGTAGGCAGATACGACTAAGAGGCAACGGCGAGTGTCCCAATTTTTCTGAATCCTTACTGTACCGTTCAGTTGGACAGCGCACAGGCAGCTATCTACTGGGATCCAGTCTACGAGAGCTAGTTCTGCCCTACTACTCAATGCTATACCTACACCAGTATCAGGGCTACCAGATACACGAAGAGTAAATCGAGTGGGTTCTTTATTTTCACAAGGTGAAATCAAATTAATGATTTTACTAGGATCCTGCAAGCGCGTTTCCGAGACGCAGCATACATCGATTTCGCGGGATTCTAAAGTCCTGGCTAAGGAAGCCTGTGGCCCTATTTGACACAATTTCAGAACATTAAATCCTCCAACATGTGGTGTAGAACAGGGTTTCAGGAGACCATGAATAACATTTCGGAAACACGAATCGTTTGCATCAGAGGTGCGGGGTGATAAAGTAACGTGAGTAGAGTTAATCGTGGAGATAAGAGAGATGTTAGGGGGTGTAGGAAGGATTTGATTGTGACCAATTCGGTCTCGCGTGCAGTACCGCGAATGGTTACCATAATAATGACTAACAGATACGGATAACAGCAAAACTCAGAGAATTGACTCCGCATATGGTCGGTTATTAAGGTGACAAAATTATCGAATAAAATTTCGCATTCAACCCTACAGTTTTATTGGCATATTCACATTTACTTGACAGTTTAATGATGTGAAAGTAGTTCGTTAAGCACCAAAACCGACCGGTAATCTATTCACATGTACGTTAAGACAGATGAGTTGCGATTTAAATGAACGAGTCTGTCTGGTGGCTAGAAACTTTATTTTCTATGATGAGTAGGATTTACGTAGTGAATAGGCAGTTGGTTCTCAGTAGGCATTAACAAATTTTAATGAATTTCCTTTTTCACGAGAAACTTCGAGTGTTTTTTAGAAATATCATAAAGTATTCAATATGCATTATAAACTGAGACAAGTAGTTATTACGATATAATACAACCTACCTTTGTGAAGGAATTCCAAGATGGTACGACTTGCGAATCGATTGTTTATCTGGACACTTAGTAGTCATAGAGTTTAGTACATTTTTACAGGATGGAAAGTTTAATGAGTATTTGTACACATTTTCTGATACATCACCATTACGATCACAATGACTACTACTAATATGTGACTGTTTTTTGTACTGAGGATCAAAATCAACAGTTTTACATGTTTCAGAAGAGTTGTGCATTAATGTTGAAACAGAAGGGTAATTGAGAGTTAAACTTTTGTGTGATTCCTGTTTATCCTGACTATAGGAAGGATTGAGTACATGAGATTGAAATCCCATCGATTGCTGTTTCCTGACATCAGGACTACTTAAATCATGAGGTTCAGAAACTTTACAACCATGGACTAAATATTTCCGACTCTCTTCGATGCCACCAGTTTTTGTGTATGATACGTTACTAAGATGCACTGTGGAAGCAGTTGATTGGGAAGTAGAACATGGGGAGACATCTATAATGTAGAATAAAAAAGTGAATTCGTATTAAAATACTTTGATGCATTAGGCTTGGACTACTAGATAAAGAAGGTCATTAAAAATGATTCAATAATTTTGATTACAGCAGAGTCTATATTAGATGATAATAAAGTGTTAAACAAACAAATTCTCCTTAAAATCACACAATAGAACAGCTAAGTTCTTCCACACATCTACACATTTTGTGTACTGATGCAATCTATCAACAAATAGTTTTAAAACAAGTATTGTTGTTAAACTTTAATGACTGTCCTTCAAATTCTCTCCAAATAAACACTCCATGATTTTACCTTCTAACTGATCGAAAACATTTTCAGTCCAAAACTTTTAACAGTAAACAGGGTGATGAAGATTTAAAATACTTAAAGCTTTTGACAAAAGTAATTTAAGTAAACTAAGGAAATATAATCACCACATGCCGTTCTATTGAAATGGAATGTGTTTGAAGAGAGACGAATGATTTTCCTAAACTTCCGTTTTCCCGCCGAAAACATTCCGGAAAAAAAGTTGTGAGAAGAATAGTGAGTTTGGGAAATGAGTATATATTTACCAACAGGAGAACAAACTCTTAGATAATCAATGTGCTCATGTAAGTGTGCAATAGTTCAATAACACATGGGCAAACCGGATCTCTTAGAATTCAAAGCTTTCAGAGTATATGACATTTAAAGTCATCCAAATAATGGATACCTAGTAATTTACTTAATCGAACTAATGTCATTACTACTTTCTGAGGTTATGTAAAACAGTCTACTTTATGAATGGCTTTAATTATTATTTCGAAACTATACGTACGTACCATCTTCCTTTGGCACAGTATTTAACAGCAGGTCGTGATCACTAGATGTTAATGGATTTAGTTCTTTAACAGATGTTTGAGACTTTGGATTAGAGTTTTGAATAGGAGGATTTTCAGATTGCACGTTTTCAATGTTAATCGCTTGGTTTGAAAAAAGATGAACACGTCTAAATCCGAAACAACCAACAGATCGATGGAATCGCTTTTTCATCTACAAAGGAAATGCTACAAATGATAGCCGGTAAAACATCATCCAGTTAACTGTGAGCATAACCTAAAACATGGGTCACAAGAAAGTTCTGTCTTTAACGCGTAAACACCAATATACAAGAGGAATCTGAAAAAAATAATCCACAGTCTAAAGCAGCGACGTTAATGGAGTAAAATTCTTTATATAACTACGGTAAAGTAATCCCTTTATTACATGCTTAGAGTCGGAATTTACATTACCTAAATTATTTTTATAAAGGAATGGTATTTTAAACGATCGATTCACTAAATAAACATAAGCTTTGGCTTCAAGAAAGTTTGTAAAAAGTCATCTTGCAGTCAGTTAGATTCTTAGGAAATTAATGTAGATAAGAATACTAAACACAAAGGTGGTAGGATACAATAATTCTTATTTTTTAGCAGTGACAACCGATCATTCAGTTAATGTCTCATAGTGAATAATCGGGAATGAAAGTTTGAGATATTCACTCATTCATATTTTCAAGGTGGAAAAACAGGATATTGTAAACTTGACCAACGTAAAAGGTAAAGTAAACTACAGAACATAACACAGACTTGTAGAGATTAGTGTAAACTATCAACCATTAATACGATGAATTACAATTTAATATATCTCGGCAGTTTTCAAAAAGATAAGTGGCAAACAAATGATTGCGATTTGGAAACAAGAAATCTTCCAAATCTTGTGAGGAAGGATACTTTGTACTATCGAGATTTCCAAAAGCCACTAGATCAGAAAAACAATTATCTACTATGCTCATTTTTTCACATCGAAATGGTTAGGACGTGTTAAGTATGCCGACCGCTGACTGCCTCGACGAGCAGTGGTGTGATGTAGTAGTCTGAAATAAATTTAAGGGCGGCCAGATCAAAACATGGCACAAATCCATGAGGTCACTGACAGGTGGACTAAGTCATGTTGATAGGTGTAGACTACCTGGTTAGGGGCCAAGAGATGATAGTAACCGGTGGTTAGAGTCAGTCAGATGCAACGTAGAACTTCGTACGTAAGTACATCAGTTCATGTCGCCATACCACATCAGCACAGAGAAGTAATTGTCAATTCAAATCCAATAGTAGTAGAGGTAGTAAGGGAATTAGAAGTAATTGGAGAGGTTAGGATTAGAAGATATTATTCAAGAAGTATGATTAAATGAGAAAAGTTTAGAGAGTCAAAAGTAGAGGGGTTGAGGAATCCAGAAGATTAGGATTTGAGAGAACACAAAGAATAAATGCACCGGCGCCATTGCGAACGATTTTGAGCCATGTCATTCAAGGTCTCTAACCATCGATTATTATCATCTCGCGGACCCCAACCAGGTAGTCGAAAATTACCGGTATGGCTAAGTCCACTCGTCAATGACTTCATAGATTTCTGCCATGGTTTGGCCGCCCCAACCGGTGGTTAGAGATGCTGAATGATGTCTCAAAATCGTCTCCAATGGCACAGACGCATCCATTCTTCGTGTTCTCTCCAATTCTAATCTTCTGAATTCCTCATTACCTCTACCTTTCTCTCTCTAAAGTTATCTCAGTGAAGTATACTTCTTGAATTGTATTTTCGACCCTTAATCTTCTCTATTACTGCTAATACTCCTACAATAGCTACCACTATTGGATTTAAACTGACAATTGCGTCTCTGTGCTAATGTGGTATGACAACCTGAACTTATGTATTACGTACGAAGTTCTACGTTGTAACTGACTGACTGACTGACCATGCGTGTATAGTCACTACTAGAGAAGTCCCATTCACTGCCTTCTTGTAACAGGAGTTTTGTTTACGAAAACGATATGACGAACAATAAACGTCAGCTGCTTAAGCCCGGTCAATGGATACTGAAGATCTATCTGAGGGAGTTGGAAAACCCTGATTCGAAACCAATGGTGCTCATAGAATCCGAGATCGTGAGGGAACAAATGGCATTCTAACTTATTATTGGTCACCATCTATCATGCGATTGCATTTCATGCTGCTCAACTAGATTGTAGATTAGACATCTTGTTCAAATGCTCCAGGGAATGGCCCCCTAGGAAAACCACCTGCTTCGGTCAAGCATTGGCAGGATCCCAGATCACCTACATATTCAATAAATTGAGTAGGTGCTCCTTCGTACCATTAAGTGCTTAAACAAGTACAATATATTAGTAATTTTACAAACTGAGAAACAGTATAAAACTAGAATTTAGTAGAAACAAGGATCATTCGATACCTGAAGATAAGATCCTACAGACAATGCTTTTTATCTCCAAACACTCCTCTGTGATAGCAACTTCTAGGCGACGCTCCGCTGCACATTACTTTTATGCCAGCTTGTGAGCAGTACCCACCGCACAAGTACTAAGCTAACACATCAAAATTTACTTCCAAAAAGATCGTATGAGAACGGTCCCATGCAACTGTCACAATAGTTTTGAATTAACACTGAGATCATTAGTACTACTATTAACGCTACCTTACTGGTGGATGACATAATAATCCTAGAATAAACCATGAGTAGATAACCAGAAAGACATTTAGCTCATCTTTGTCTAGTATGGATTGACATATAGCATCTTTTTGTATTCACCGTCAAAAAACTGATTCAGTAAAGAACCTTTTGCTACAAAACGCATGAAATCTTCTATTTGGGACTTTTCTGTCGCAAAGTTGGCGAAATGAAGTCTGGTAAAACAGTACAACAATAGTAAAATGAAGACTAAAATTTTATGCTTATTTAAACGTATTCAATTGTGATCTACCGGACATGTACTGTGGGGAATAGTGAGAACTTCCACCTGAGACTTCTTGAAGAAACACATCCCTAAATTAAAATCCCAATCACCGCCTAAATTTAAAATGAGTATTCCACTGCTCGAAGAAATACAACCTACGTTGCCATTATCTTTACAAGAAGGCTAATTGATGAATCAGTAAAACTTAGTTATAGAGTTGATTTGTAGGAAATAAACCATTTATTTGCAAACCTTTAAATTGTAGCTTGAAAAATTAGTAACGACATCAAAGTATCCATTACATGACTCATTCACAAATTGCATCATCAAAATTCCTGTCATCCAATATCAGTGGAAAAGACCTTGCGAAATTGTATGATGAATTTACTCAAGGGTTTCTTCACGTCATGAGTGGAAAAACTGAACAAACGTTATCATCGTAGGAAAGGAAACACAAGTGACGATTCTCATCTAAAACTTTTCCCTTTTTTAAATGCGACCTTCCTTTTTTGTAGCAACCGTAAGCTTGACTGTATTTTGCAATAATTATGCGATCAGCGTTTAAAAACAGTATTTTAAACTGCCTTTTTATTTTTATTTTCAGAATTCCAGAGATGAGAACGCTTCTCGTCGATGATGCTGATACTGTAGGGGATAAATTTTAATGTCATTCTTTATGAATAACAACCCTTTAAGTAAAATTTGTCAATAAACTTAGTGTTTTTTGATACACACTGATTGCGCAGATAAATCGTTTAAGTGGTTGAACACAAGTGAATCCCGTTAAGTATACCAGTCCGTTCAGTCTGTCGAAATGTTTACTAAAGTACGTGTATATGAGGCAGAGGTGTAGACAATTTGGTCTAAATTTTGGAAAAAAGTAGACAACTCATTGTTACTTCTTGGGAAAAGTGGACACTTAGAGGAACGTGAGCGGCGAATTCGAGAAATTCGCCTTAAACGAGGTGTTCTGAGGAAAATTCTCATTAATTACCCCATGCTACGGAAAAAAGAGACAAAGTGATGCTTGTCACCTATTTTCATACGAAGTTTACTGAAGGATTTTTCTGAAAATCTGCCCTTGAATATGCGATCCCGGGTGTTTCTGCTGTAGATAAAAAGTACGTATGTAGTCAAATCTAAAAATAAATTAGGACTATGAGCAAAATTTCAGAACTTCGGAAGAAATCTGAGTTGAAGAAGCCCCTGATAAGCTTGAGGCAAATGTGGACAAAAAAACCTCCTATCTTGGGGTTCGCACCCGAATTTTAGTCCGAAATTGAGATTATCAGAACGTTTGCGGCGAACCCAGAGGTCCCTCAGGATATTGATTGACTGTGAGGAGGTAAGATAAATTAAAGCCGTTATGAAGCGCCATATGTCGAGAGATTAGGAATGAAGGACGCTGACTTCGGCATAAGAGACGCATAAAAAGTGAACAACTTTTAAGTTAATCCTCATAACATTGTACAGTTATATAGCATTCATTATTCTAAAAATAACTGTGTTAAAATTAAGCATCTCTTTTAAAAATGGCCATAAGAAGTACCTATTGATTAAGTCTAATTGTTTCCCGATGCTAAAGTGCAGCAGATAACAACTGGATACATTTTTGCTTGAATACACATTGAAATTTTTCATAAAATTGTGCCGTTATTTAAACAATATTGCAAGTGTCCCATGAAAAGTTACTGATACCATATGCTTGACCTAGTTATTTAAGCAGTACTTTCTGACTAAGGTCTTTTAATTTAAGGTTACGTTGTCACGAAATCCAACAGCATTTACACCTACATTGACACACATGAAGCGACATGAATAATTTCGCAAGTCTTTTCAAAGATGACGGAAGGTTACGTATCAGTTTTCAATGTATTTGAGAACAGTCACAGATAACAATCTTTTTCTTTGCGTTCTTTATCTATAACGGTTTCGCTTTTTATTGAAATTCAAAAAGCCTGGATTCGGAGCCCTGATGTATTAACTCTACTTTACTTCCGAAATCCTTATCTTGTGACAGGCTTGTATAAACTGTTCGTGTTCTTGGCTGTTTCGAGGTTCTAGGTCTTCGGTTGTCTTCGATAGGCAGAATTCTAGCCACTCAATTTAAATATTTCTGGTCATTTTGGGGTTTATAGGTTGATTTATATTACTTGTACATCTTGACAGTTGGATATCAAAAATTAAGTGCACTTACACCAGGTCAGTGAGATTGATCGAACCACTTTCCTACAAATCATCGGTGGTTGATATAGTCGTTGATAACCCTGAAAAAAGCTTAGATCTTGATAGGAGCATCCTCAGTAACAGTAGTACAGATTCCGCCCCATTAGGGTTTATAACAAAAAATTGCACGTAAAATATAGAAACCAAACATGAAACCACGAAATATTTGGTTATTTTGTCAGCCTTCTTAAGATATTTGCCTGGTCATTATATACAAGTGCATCCTCGGATGGAAGTCTATTTACACGATTACGGATGACTTTTCCCGAACATGTAGAGTCAGTTCAAAGGCACGTAAACTTATACGCCACAAAATACGTCGTTTCCACCAGCATATTAAATTCAGCAAGACCAAATATACTGGTACTATTACTCGATATATATATGTATATATATATATAATCCCTAGAGGGTGATATACCTCGAAACTTAAAAATTGTCCCTAAACAAAAATCAGGGCCGAAAATCCTAATCCAGAACTACAGACTAATCAATATCACTCCAGTTATCTCACGAATAATGGAAAAAATAATGAAGGATCAACCATCAGATCACTTATTCAGGGAAGGTTTTATCAACCTCGGACAACACAGTTTCATAAGAACTTGGTCATGAGCTGCACGTCTCACAGACATTTTTGAAGAGGTTACCAACATACGCGAACAAATGCAACTATTGATGGAGTTGTATTTTGATATCAGAAAGGCTTTCGATAAGGTACCACACAATCTCTTGATCAGCAAACTTCAGTCCTGGGTTACTGACTGCCTGTTGCGTTGGACTAGGTCATTTCCCATGAACATACTAAATTAATAAAATTGACTCAGGAATATCTCCACCCCCACCAATACCGACTGGAGTTGTGTCTTGGTCCACTATTTTATCTGCTTTAAAAACATCTGCAGTTGCTCCAAAACTAGCATTACTTACCTCAATGCTGATGACCTAAGACGATCCATAAATCTAACAAATGTGAATTGAGAAAATTGACGTAATTTATCCAATATGAATTCAGTATTGTAGACAACTGGTGTAAGCGTAAGAACTTAGAACTCGATACTGAGAAATGTGTCTTGTTGTGTCTCGGAGACACGTCTCCTAAGATTAATCTCACTCTCAGCATGACTGTACTGTGAAGTCATACTGCTGGCTGTAGAGAGGAGTGACAGCGGCAAGGTGTTTCGTTCGAACAACCAGCATCTGTTACCGTGCTATCTTCTCAAAAGGAAAACACTCGAAGTTTCTCGTGAAAAAGGAAATTCATTAAAATTTGTTAATGCCTACTGAGAACCAACTGCCTATTCACTACGTAAATCCTACTCATCATAGAAAATAAAGTTTCTAGCCACCAGACAGACTCGTTCATTTAAATCGCAACTCATCTGTCTTAACGTACATGTGAATAGATTACCGGTCGGTTTTGGTGCTTAACGAACTACTTTCACATCATTAAACTGTCAAGTAAATGTGAATATGCCAATAAAACTGTAGGGTTGAATGCGAAATTTTATTCGATAATTTTGTCACCTTAATAACCGACCATATGCGGAGTCAATTCTCTGAGTTTTGCTGTTATCCGTATCTGTTAGTCATTATTATGGTAACCATTCGCGGTACTGCACGCGAGACCGAATTGGTCACAATCAAATCCTTCCTACACCCCCTAACATCTCTCTTATCTCCACGATTAACTCTACTCACGTTACTTTATCACCCCGCACCTCTGATGCAAACGATTCGTGTTTCCGAAATGTTATTCATGGTCTCCTGAAACCCTGTTCTACACCACATGTTGGAGGATTTAATGTTCTGAAATTGTGTCAAATAGGGCCACAGGCTTCCTTAGCCAGGACTTTAGAATCCCGCGAAATCGATGTATGCTGCGTCTCGGAAACGCGCTTGCAGGATCCTAGTAAAATCATTAATTTGATTTCACCTTGTGAAAATAAAGAACCCACTCGATTTACTCTTCGTGTATCTGGTAGCCCTGATACTGGTGTAGGTATAGCATTGAGTAGTAGGGCAGAACTAGCTCTCGTAGACTGGATCCCAGTAGATAGCTGCCTGTGCGCTGTCCAACTGAACGGTACAGTAAGGATTCAGAAAAATTGGGACACTCGCCGTTGCCTCTTAGTCGTATCTGCCTACGCCCCCACTGACTGCAGTTCAGACGAGGTTAAAGATTAATTTTACAGAAAGCTTCAGACCTCCTCCAAAACGTTAGGCACTCTGATATAGTAATAATGGCTGGAGACTTCAATACTCACGTAGGTAGACTGAGTGAAAAGGAAAGACACTGTGGATCACAGCAATCATATCAGCTAGTAAGGTAAACCATAAGGTTAGGAAGAAGCCATGGATTTCGGTAGCATCTACTGCAATGACGGATGCTCGGAAGCTCATCCCGCCTGGCTCTGAGCACGATGAGGAGTGGAGTCAGATAAGGCACAGGCTGATAAAGAGCCTACGCAACGACCGTGAACAGTGGTGGATGGCGAAAACAAACGCGATGGAAAAGGCAGAGGCGATAGGCAACAGTAGGCAACTATTCAGACTCATCAAGAAAACCGGTATTAAGAACCGGAATGTGAATGAGACTATTTCGGAGAAGGATGGTCTTATTATTCGTTCTCAATCCAGGAGATTGGATCGATGGGCAGAACACTTTAGGGATCAGTTCAAATGGCCTTCAGCCACACATCGGTTGCCCACGATCTTCAACCATCCTGAATGGAAAACTGATATATGTCCTCCGAATCTTTGTGAAGTTCAGAAGGCGATCGGAACTCTGAAGCGAGGGAGAGCAGCAGTTCCTGATAGATTGACCCCTGAGTTATTAAGGATGGTGGTCCAGTTCTAGCAGCTTGATTAACTAAGATCTTAAGTAGCATCTGGCAACTAGGCTTAATATCCTCTGAGTGGTAGCACGCGCTGATTTTTTCAGTGTATGTGAAAGTACTCTTTTGACAGTAATAGAGGCATCAGTTTCACTAATACAGGGTCTAATATTTAGGCCCTAATTATACTACAACACTTAACTAGAGCTCATGAAGAGCAGACTGGAGAAAACCTCGTTGGTTTCCGACCTGGACGTGGGTGTTATAGAAATATTTATTACTCTCGCAGTGAGCTCTAAATTCAAAAGATTTAGGTTCACACACGTCTCGCCCAGTCCAGGTCATAAAGTGATAAATCTGGGAAAGAACGGTTCTATTTCTAATCAAAAAGAGAAATACAGACAAATACCAAAACAATATTACACGTTCGAGTTTCTAATCACAACAGTAAGTTTCGATACTGGAAGAATAAGTGCTTCCAGTTAGTTTCAGATCCAGAAATGGCTGTAGCCATATTAAGCATCAATTTTAAACAACACAGATATAGTTCAGAATGAAACATAGAAACTTCAATATAAGTACAATATATAGAAATAATAACAATATACAAATGATAAAATCCCGAAATGGGATCAAATGAAATACCAAAATATCTAACAGAAAGAGTCAGTCAGATCACAACACAAATATATACACATGGAGGGATTTTCCAAAAACAAGGCCTTCAAAATAGATTCTACAGATGTATAGATTTAAAGCGGCATTAAACTCTATGATTCTCGAGGTTGGATGTCGCTGTTTTTTATTAAAAGGTGTACCATTGAAGTAGAGTAAACCTTATACTTGCTCTCTACTCGAACACTACAGGTCGAGTAAGAGCTTATTTTGAACTGTCACCAGAATTCTTTACTTCCGATGGTTCCGTCAGAGATGTCCACTTTTCCCATTCTTGTTTAACTTTGTCGTATATCTGCTTCTCTATTTCACATTATCGTCTGACTCTTCAGGAGTGGACCTTTACCGAGGAGATACGCTTGCTGAATTAGCATATGCCGATAACATAGTTCTATTCGGTAAAGACGCTAACAAAATGCAGAGTCTTCTGACCATCCTAAGCAACAATGGAAGCATGTTAGGGATGCGGTTCTCACCCTCGAAATGCAAAATGTTGCTTCAAGATTGGGTTGCATCGGCACCTGAACTAGTGATAGGGAGTGAAGTAGTCGAAAGTGTAGACCGCTTCACTTATCTTGGGAGTCTGATCAGTGCTGATGGCCTGTTGACTGACGAAATCTTAGCTCGGATACAGAAGGCTCTTTGCCCATCGGCGTCAACTGTAGCTCAGGCGAAATATCTGTTTGCTAACCGAAGGACGAGTGTACAGTGCAGTGGTTCGCTCCGTCTTACTGTCCTACTATGCGGATGCGAAACATAGCCAGTGAGAATAGAAGACATTCGTAGATTGCTTCTCTTCCATCATAAGTGTCTCTGAAGCATTGCTCGTATATCCTGGGGCAATCAAGTGAGCAATGCCGTCGTTAGGAAACGAGTAGTAGGTAGGGATATCAAATCAATAGACGAAATATTGAAGCTTAATCAATTGAGGTGGTTGGAACATGTGTTATTAATGCTCGACCACTGACTGCTTCGATGAGCTGTTTTGTGGTGTAGGAGTAGGTTCGAAGAAAGCTAGGGGTGGCCAAACCAAAATATAGTACAAATCTCTGAAATCAGTGACATGTA